GTGTTTGGGTGTGTATTTGCTACCGAACTGTATTTTCTATTTCCCATGCTCCTTTTACTTTTGTTTTCTTTACTTTGGATTGATACATTTTTTAAATTAACCTCCTGCTTTAGAAGCTACGAACTTTTCTTGTCCCTTGTCATAATAAAAACTTTCCTTAAAAACTGTGATGAATGTCCTTGCCCTCTTCCCAGGCACAGTGCACACCGGGGCCACACTGTGATACCTGTGCTGGTCTGAAATGCCCCGTTCTCTCTTCAGCTCCAACCTGCCTAGGTAATCACTATTAATACTGTTGCGGTGCCCACTTAGGTTTACTGATGTTTATTTCTGCATTTGTAGTCCACTTTACTCCTTTAAAAAAAATTAACCTATTTTTCCCAAAGTGCATCCTTTTATAATTCATTTAGTACAGTCTGTGTCATGGTTTGGGGTTTTGCAAGGGGAAACAATACAAGACACTTAGTTATAAGATTTTAGAATAGTTACTCAAGGAATCATGTGAAGAGTGTGCAGGAAAACTGTCCACATACTAATGACCAAAGAAGCCAGCTGAGGGCCTGGATCCCACAGCAATGTCCTACATGAGCCACGAAGACCTACGGCCCATGAGAATGTCTCATACAGGCCTTCTTGGATCTGCGTGGGAAGTCTCATAGATCAGTGGTGGAAGCTAGACGTGCCAGTGGGATGGATTTGTGCGAGCAGGCTGAGGGGTCTGACCTGGAACTAGGAAGCAGCACTCAAAGTAAGAACCAGAGCTCCCGGGAAAAGTACCACAGCTATCCTCAGCAACAGCGAGGTCCCGAGCTCCTCCAAAGATGAGGAAAGCCAAGTTCCCGTTAGGAAAGCAGTGGGGCAAGTTTCTCCAGGAGACTGAGCTGTGCTAGTCTTCCTCTCCAGAGCCAGGAAGCGATGCTCAAGGGGAGGACCAGAGCTCCCTCAAAGTGAACCATAGCCATTCTCAGTGACAGTGAGGTAACCAGGCTCCTCCTCCAAGAAGAACAGCCCAGATCATCAGGAAAGCCAGCAAGACAAGGTCCTCCTACAGCGTACAGCCTTCTGTAACAACTTTCAACAGTTTCCTACAGCCTCTTTCTCTCCAGTTCGGCCTCTTATGCTGCTGGCAACAATCCTCAGGCGGGCCTCCTACACCCAGCACCACGCTAGTTCAGTTCAGCAGGGTGTAAGAAGTGGACCACCAGTTGACCGTGCAGCACAGTCTGTAAATGTTGTTTTCTAGCAGACTTTTTTTTTTTTTTTTTTTTTTAAGAACGCCTTTTTACTACATTTGTAAAACCCTGGAATGACATTTCTCCTTCAGCCTTTCCAAGTAACACCCTAGCTGCTTGCAACACTCGTTTTGCTATGCAGAAACGCACCTTGAGCAGCTCGTTTCTTTCTAAGGCATTACATTTATTTTCCTGCTTTGTCTTTATGATGCTGAGCTTTAACGTTTGTTTTAGCATCCATTTATTGCCATTTAAATCTTCTGTGAAGCTTATTTGGATTCTAAAGTCTAAAGTTTCATATTTCTGATGCAGTTTTGGAAGTTCTCTGCCTTACATTTTTAATGGCCTATTTTAAAAAACAATGCCCAGCTCGCAGATAAGCAGCACGCGATACTTGGCGCCGTTCTCGCGAGGACTGGCTGAGAGGACGCACGCAGGGCGTCCCCTTCCCTTGTGAGAACACTTCCGGTACGTTTCCTACGGGGCTCCCCTCCTCCAGCTGACCTGGGCCTGGCTGGTCCCTGCGCTCATCCTGGGGCTCCTTGAAGGCGGGGGTCTGTTCTCTTCCTTGTGGTTGTCCTCGTGGCCTGGCCCGGGTCGGGAGTCCCCTCGGGCCACCCTGCATGGGATGGCTGGAAGCTCCTAGTGCAGCGGTGCGGCCACGCATCCCCGCAGGCCTCGGTCAGGTCTGGGGTGAGCCACGTTGCCTGCGTGGGGCCGGCATGTGATGACGTCCCGGGCGCGTCCTGATGACGTCGGCTCCCGCGGCGTGTGACTTGGCCCTGGCCTCAGCGCTTTGGGCCCCGGGGTTGCGCACGGCTTCCTGTTCAGGCCTGTTCTGTGCTGTCACGGTGTTGGTTTGGCGGCCAGGCGCTCGACCCTCACGGCCTCGTGCCCGAGGCAGCGCCTCCTGCGCGCCGGCGTTGCCAGGCCGGCAGGCGGGAGGGCCCCGCGTTGTGCTGCCGGCCCACAGACGCTCGCCTCGGCAGTAAGTCTGGAAGGCCCTGCGCGGACCCCCGGTGCCGCTCCCGCTCGATTCGTGCTGTGCTCTTGCCTTGAGAGAACTCATCTCCTTGAGTTTGGAGTGTGCATCTGTTCACCATTGGAATAAAGTCCTAACCGTTCTTGGTTGTTATAGTATAGCCCAGAATTTTTTTAAAAAACGATCAACTTTATTGAAGGCCACCTCAGTTACACAGTACTTGTGTATATACACATATGCATTTAAGGCCACACGTGGCACGTTTTGCAGGACATATATGCTGGGAACCTGTCGCTGCAGTTAAAATTGTGAAAGGATTTCCACCTACCAACATTCCTCCTTCCCCTTGGAAGATCGCTCTGTCTTGTGCCCAGGCAACCATGTACCTGTTTTGTGTTACTCTAAGTTGAATTTTCAGGAATTTTGTGCACAGAGAACCATTCCGCATTACTCTTTCTACTTTTTCGTTCAGCAGTTATTTTTGCACTCACATGTTGTATGAATCAATAGGACCTTCCTTTTTGTTGTAGAAGGCAGCTTTTGTACTGCTGTGCCAAAATGGGCTTATCATGCACCTGTTTACTGATATGTGGATTGTTTTCATTTTCTGTCATCGATGAAATTGCACACATGACAGTCTTTGTATGCCCATGTCCCTTTCTTCCTGGATAAGACCTAGGACTGGACTGACCAGGTCACCTGTAGACATGCTTCTGGTGTAACTTACCCCGCTGCCTTCCACCGTGCAGTCCCATCAGCACAAGGCTCCTTTATCCTGGCTTCCTCTTACCCTTGCCATGGTTCGTTTTCCAGCTGTGGCTGTTGTGAGCAAACCTTTGCAAACCTCCCAGTACTACCGTTGACGCAAGGACACTGGTTTTTCATAACTGTTCCTAGGCATGGTTTGTGATGGTGTGGTTTTACACCATGCCCATTTGTGCTTCTAGGCTGGCACATTTTTCTTTGGAGTTGAAAGTAAACTTCCTTGTCTTCTTGGGCTGGTGGTGCAGTTTTTCTGGTTCTCCTTTCGTGGTGCAGGGTAAGCTCACAAGCAAAGGTGTCCCGGCTGTGGTGCCTCTTAGCAGTTTGCACATTCCTCTCCCTGATTACTCCTTGGGATTTCCCAGGCTCCCTTGAAGGCCTGCTTGTGAAGGAACAATTTCAGCGTGCTTGAAGGTGTTATTTCTCTATGTCGTATTTCTCTACGTTGGGAGCAGAAGCACAAGCTCAGGTTGAAATGTTACAAGAAATCTCTGGGTTCCTCAGTAATCGAATGAATATGTGAGATCACAGATTTCAAAATTACAACACCCAGAGCATTCCCTGGACACTTGGTTTTGTGGTGCTTGGATGTGACAGAAAGAATGTCCCTGGTATGTTGTAGACTGCACAGACATGGGCATTGCCTAGGAGCAACAGAAGCTGGGAGGAGCTAGGGACTGAGTTCCCAGCAGTGTGCACGTGAAACTTGTAGCGCTGCTAGCACACAGAATGCATGCTGCGCTTGCTGAATGCATGTGTATATTCATGGTCATGATGCATACCTTGTTGATAGATTCGTTCATGTGTAAAAATATATATTTAAACATTACAAATAACATGCTCCACAATTAAGAATGCTTCTTAGTGAAACTTACCTTTCCAGTGACTTAGTACCAAACGGCAGATTTCCATTCTGTTGGCTTCCTCAAAGCAAATGTGGAAATTATTCCTGGTGCCTTCCTCTTCTTCCGTTTCTGACATTTCAGTGCGATAATGCACACTAGTAAATTACATCTCAGAGTTACTTGTATTTCAGGACAGAATGCCCATTTGGGAGAACACTTACTGTGGTGTCCCACACATGTGGTGCACACATCCGGGGGGAGCCTATTTGGTGTGTTATGGCTTGTGTCTGGAGGTCCCCCCAAAGCCTCATACAGTCATGAGGCGGGTTCCACAGCGTGCGAGTGACTCATGGTGCAGTGCTGGGATTATAGGTATGAGCGCTACAGGGTGGGTAGCCTGCATACAGAATAAGGGAGAGAGGCTGGCTCTTTCTACTCCTTCCTGTTTGCTCTTTTGCTTTCCTTGTTTTCGGCCCCCATGGACTATTGCCCTCTGCCATGTGCCACTTTGCCTTGAAGCCAGCCAAGTATGGACTGAAAGGTCTACAGACTGTGAGCTAAAAAAATCTTTCTGTCTTTAACTTTGGACATTGAGTATTTTGTCTTAGCACCAAGAGAAAAGTAACCAAGACAGGGTAGTACCAAGGCAACTTTTTCTGACAACTATGTATTCATTTCAACCCTTGCTACTAAAACAAAAAGGTCATCATTCTTGAAGATTAGTGTGGAGGAAGATAATAAAGGCAAAACTGGGTCAAATAAAAGTATCAAAACAGTATGGTTGGAAAACAGATTTTCTTTTTCATAGCAGACTTTAAGTGTTTGTTGCCTTGCTGAGTGACTCCCGAAGACATGTCAGCGTGGCTGTGTTCCCATCCTAACAGGGTGGACAGCCTCTTCCTAAGAGGCCAAGCTGGATGTGGGTCAGGTTGGAAACAAACCGTGTGGAGGTGTGGAAGCTTTTCCTCTCTTCTGTCCATCAGCATCAGTGACTTGAAGGAATATCCACTCTTTCGTCTACTGGGCACATGATTTCGGTGTCTAATAATTATACCTTGTCCTTTAATGGGTGGTGATGCAAACAGTCCATTAATTGAAGTATGTGCCATCCTAAATTCACTACTGTGTGACTGGTTCTCCCACACCAAGAGATGATCTGTTCCTTCTCCCTCTATCCAGGACTCGGGCAGCATGAGGACCTCCCTGCAGGTGGTGGCACTGTGGGGGAAGAAGGCCCCTCCTCACAGCATCTCTGCCATCATGATCACCGATGACCAGCAGACCATTGTGACCGGAGGCCAGGAGGGTCAGCTGTGCCTCTGGAACCTCTCACCTGAGCTGCAGGTGGGTGGAGCAGACAGCATCACACCTGTGTCCGGCTGGCTGCTTGTGCCCGCAGGCACAGCTGCTGTTGAGGAGAGTGAGACCCGTAGTACACTGATTGTGAGGTTAGAGAAAGTATTAAACAGTAGGTGAAGATATTTCAAAATTATATTATGAATATTGCTAATCTGAGCTACCAGCTAAAATTATGCCCCTTCAAGATGTGCTGAGTGTTACTACTTTATATTCTGAATTATACATTTGATAACTGAGCCATAGGCATGGACGTGTAATTCTGAATATTATGGCCCATTAGTCTGAACACAGGGCCTCCCTGAAGAGTGTTATGAACCAAATGAGTAATATCTTAATTATTAGGCTGCTTCTGCTGGCCCAGCCCTCTTGCTATTCTTTCAGTCTCTGCTTCCCTGAGATTTTACAGATTCCATCAAATGGCTCTAAATCCAATTTACTGTTGTCCTCTTCTTGCTTCAGAAACCTGGCCTCACCTAGGATTTGTCCCATCGATTGGTAATTAATTGTCTCTGTCCCAAGTCATAAACATTTAACATATTAGAGTAGGTATTTGCTTAACTCTAACCAGCTCTAGACCCATTTGGACATTTAAACTAATGATGTACTTAAAGTTCACTGCCCTCGTTAAGAAGCCTTTTAAAGATCAAAGGCTATTTTTAGATCTTAAAGTCTGTCACTTTAAAACCTAAATTAACAATTAATTGTAATTCTATTTTATAGTGTAATTAATTAACATCTCCCATCATGGGTCAGCTCTGCTCCAGGACTGGAGAACCACCCAGTGGAGCGGCTCAGCTGGGCCCGTGGCTCCCTGAGAGAGGAGTGCTCTCACCGTGGCGGCAGTTGTACGTTAGCCGTTAGCCGTGGGGGCCCGCAGGGGTGGGGCCGGCACATGGCCGGCTGTGGCTTACCCAGACCCCCAGCGGCTTCACATGCCTTGCTGAGCTTGTATGCAGGGAGTGGCTCTCTGGCAATGTGTGCGTTGCTTGCACTAAGCAACACGCGACCCCAGGACTCTTGCGTTCCGTCATCTGTCGTTTGCTGATGCAGCGCCTGTCCGCCATGCTTGTGTTGAGTGTGTGTCGCCATTTGGTTCTGAGAGCATCCCTCCGTGCAGCGGGTGGTGGGGAGAGGTGTGAGCAGCTGTGCAGCTCAACTGTGTGCCCAGGAGTGCGACAGCACTTGGGGCAGGCGGGTGCGGCAAGCCAGACGGAGCCTTGCCAGCTGCCCGGGAGAAGGCGGGGCGAGCGCTGCCGCTGCAGGTGATTCTGGTCAGCCACAGAATATTCCGATTATAACAGAAATGGTGTTTAGAAAGGGGATAGTTACGTCATGAAGCATTTTATCCCCATTAGTATGGCTGGGTTATCGTATATGTGTGCATATTCAGAAAAATAGAGTGGATATTAGTTCACTTGGAATACAGATTTTTTTTTTCTAATCTCATTCAAACGAAACATTGTGTCCATCATGGTTTTCCATATGAAGAGACCTTACCTGTTTTCTGTTTTGTACTTTAATTTTCATGATCTTGCTTTTTAAAATAGTGATGGGAGAATGAGTGCGCCTGGGCTCCCGCTTCCAGAGCGCGCTTTCGCTTCGTGCGCATTGTGTGTCACTGGGGCGGGGTTCGCGCTTCCCGTAGCTCGGGGCACGTGAGATGATACGAGACTTGGAGCTCTTACTGTTATGTTTTTTAAGTTCTTATTTAGGAGAAAATCATTGTATTTTAAACAGTAGTGTAGCCTAAAGTTTTTTTAGGGCTAGGGAGGTAGCTCAGCAGTCTAAATGCCTGCCTGCCAAGCACAAGGACCCAGGTTTGGGCCCTGGCACCGGGCTCGTGCTGAGCCAGCCACTGAAACCAGGTGTGGTGGCACACGCCTGCGATCCCAGCGCTGGGGAGGCTGAGACAGGAGGATCACTGTGAATCTGAGCTGTGTAGCAAGACCCTGTAACAAATAAATTTAATGTGGTACCAGGGATGGTACTCAGGACTTAGCGCTTGCCAGGCAGGCACTTATGCAGTTGAGCTATATCCCTGGCCACAAATCAATCAATCAATCAATGTAGCAGGATGAGAACTTTAAAAAGTATATGTGTGTTTTTGTGTGTGTGTGTGTGTGTGTGTGTGTGTGTGTGTTTCAGTACCAGGGATTGAACTCAGGACCCTGTACTTGGCAGGCAGGTGCTTATTCTACTAAACTATCTCCCCAGCTCTCTAAAATTTTTTTTTTTTATGTGTGTGTGTGTGCGGCCAGCTCAGCCCACCTGGGGGCGGGGCTGGCTGGCATGTGGTGTGGGGATTGAGCTGTGGTCCCTGTGTTTTGCTGAGCTTGTTCTAAGTAGGTGCTTTAGACCACTGAGCCATCTCACCAGCCCCTAAAATTTTTTTTTTAACATGCCAAAATACAGTTTCTGAGAGCAAGTCAAATAAAATATTATTAAATATTTCAGTAAAGATTGTTTTATAGCGATTTTGGGTTCATAGCAAATGGAGTGGGGTTCAGAGAGCTCCCATATGATGTCCTTGTGCTCACAGTTCCCCAGTGCCACCATTCCCCATGGAGATGAGCACTGGTGACCCACAGCGAGTAGACATGTCACTGTCACCAAGGCCACTGTCGGCATGTGTGCTGGCCCCTTGTGATGTGTGGTACAGCCTGTGGGTTTGACCCATGTTCCACGACACCGCTGACGGTGTTGTGCAGGATGCTTCCCTGTGTTCCGTGCCTGTGCCCGACCCAGAGCCCACTGTGCTGTCTGCACGTTCCTTGGTTGCCGTTTCCAGAATGTTCTGTAGTGGGAATCACCGTGTGGGAACTTCCCAAATTGGCTTGTTTTCCTGAAATAATGTGCACTTTGTTTTCTATCTTTTCATGGCTTGTGAGCTCATTGTTTTGGCCTTGTGTTTGTGTGCAGTGCCTCAGTTTACTTGCTTACCTACTGAGGGCCATCTTGGGGGCTCCCACAAGTTGGCACCTGTGAGTGATGCCACTGCAGATGTGCGCTTCAGCGTGATGCCCTTGGATATGCCATGAGCGTCCTCACCCATCTCGCACTCCGAGCGCGTGGCGTCTCAGCAGCAGCAGCGAGGCTCCCCCACAGCAGCGCTGATGAGCGTGCGCCGCCTGGGGTTCCGCACTCCAGAGCGTGCCTGCACTTAGTGTGTGGTGTGTCCCTGGGGTGGGGTTCGCACTTTCCGTGGACTCAGGATGTGGCCCGTCTTTGGTTGTGCTCACTTCCAGTCTCCATGTATTCTTTGGAGTGTTGTCTGCTCAGATCCTTTGACTTCTTACATCAGGCTTTTTATTCTCCGGTTGTTGAGTTTTAAGAGGTAAGAATTTTGGGTAAACAGTCCCTTAACAGAGATGCCTTCTGCAGATGTTTCTCCCAGTCTGTGGCTTGTCCTCCTCCTCCTCCTCCTTCTCTTGGTCTCTTATTGATGTTTATGTAAATGAAAAATGTGTTTTTATTTTAGAAATTTTAGATAATATAGATAATCTAAAAATGAAATATGCTTAAAGTGCCTGGTCTCCAGTCTTCAATAGAATTTTATTTCTCTTCAGCTTTATTAAGGTGCCATGGACAAATAAAGACCATGTATTCAGATGTTGAGTGCGAGACTGTGTGAGGTGGCTGCAGTCAGGTCCGTTAACAGGCGCCACCTCGAGCAGGCACTGCGGGTGTGTGTGTGGCAGCACTCGGGCTCGCTCTTCGATTTCCAGCCCGCGACAGTGTGCAGTTGTGTTACTGCTCTTGGTGGTGCTGAGAACGGACACAGGGCCTTCCATGTGCTAAGGGGGCTCCACCCCAGCTGCTTCCCCACCCTCAGAGTGGAGTTGCTCGCTGTCATCATCGCCCCACACACGAGGCCTTCCTGAGCTCACCTCCAGGTGACGTTTCTGCCCTCTGACTGCCTCGCCCTGGGCCTGCAGCGGCCGAGCTGACCCTGCTCCGATGGGTTGGGCTGCTTGGGGTTCGTGTACAAGTGCGATCTCGAGTCTCTCGGTGCCTCTGGCTTGTGTCTTTGGCCTAGTGCCCTCTGGGTGCATGCCTGTTGTCAAAGGGCAGGATTCTCTTGTTTTTATAAGTGAATAACTGTACCGTAGATGCACGCACATTCTCTTTCTGCACCTGTCCATGGGGTGGACACCTCGGTGCCCTGCTGTGTGGCCTTTGTGAAGGTGCTGCAGGGCACCCAGGTGCAGAGAACCCTGCGGGACTCGCATTTCCATTTCTTTAGATCCACACATGGACATGCGCTGCGGGTCCTGGGTTCACACTGGTTCTAATTGTTTGGAGTGTTGCCTGCTTGAGCCCCCATACTGTTTTCCAAAATCACTGTGCAGATTTACCACCAGTGATGTGGTATTCAAGTAGTTACAAAAGGTAGTCTTTCCTCTTGTTTTGCAAACTCATTTCCCCACTGAGAGTTGTACATTGTGTGCTGTTGTCCTGGGGGCATCCCTTATGTAATAAGTATCAACATGGACTTATTTGTATTCAAAACCTCAATGTGGTCAAAGGGGTCTGGACGTCTTGGAGGTTTGCTGACCCATACTAAACCCAAACAAGAAAAACACTGCACAGCACAGTTTCTCTGCCCAGAGGTTTCTGATTCCTTGCACTCCGATGCACCGTGTATCAGTTTTCCTGGAATGTATACGTGGAAAAGCATGCTATTCTATAGGTGGTTTTCCTCATGAGTGTGCATGGTGTGCTATTTTTATTTTTCAGTTTCCAGGTTTGTGAAAGTTTCCTGTCCTTTCAGATCTCAGCTAAAGAACTCCTCTTTGGTCATTCAGCGGCTGTGACATGCCTGGCCCGAGCAAGTGACTTCTCCAAACAGCCCTACGTCGTGAGTGCTGCTGAGAACGGGTGGGTAGAGGACAAGGTGTGGGGTTGCCTCCTTCTCCACGCTCTCTCATAAGGGAGTGTGATGGGGACAGTTTCAGGGCTCAGGAGAGTTCCGTGCCTGGCAGGTTCCTGTCTCGAGAAAGAGTGTGGAAGTGGGGGAGCTTGTGTGTGGGTCCCCAGGAATTGTCTTGGAAGTCTCAGTGTAATGCCCTGTGGTGCTGGGTGAAAACAGACACAAACCCTCCCGCATATACACACCGTGGCACGAACCAAAGAGAAGATCCCTCACACACACACACCTTGTTCACAGAGGAGTGTTAAACAGAGGCCAGCTTCCCGTCAGTAGTCTGAAGAGCAGCCAGATTTCCTGAACACTGCCGAGAAAACATCTGTCAACTCAAAAGTCCAGATCTGCAAAGACATCTTGATTCCTAGAGTCAAGTAATAACTGCTGTGGCTGTTTTTCTCTCATTGCTGAGACAAAATACTTGATGCCTCAAATTAAGGAAGGAAAGGTTTGTTTGGCTCACAGCTTATGGAGGTCTCAGTCCATACTCAGCGGGGTCTGAGGCAGGGTGGCGTGGTGAGGAATAATAGCTCAAGAAGGCAGAAAACAGCAGAAGCAACGAGAGCAGAGGGGCAGGACAAGCCTCTTTCCCCCCTTACATTGTAAGCAGGCTGCTCACCCTGTCCAGGTGGGTGTAGCTTACCATCCCCCTGCCCTCCCTTACACTGGTGAGGGTGTTTGCTGAGGAGGCCGCTGGTCTGTGCTGAGTCCCTTCATTAAAGTGGAAACAATGTGTCCACCACTATAGTAACCTGCAAGACAAATATTAGGATGTTAACTGGTGCCCCGCTTGTAATGAAGTTCTATGTGAATTATTCCAGAATAAGAACAATGATTTCATAAGAAAGAGTGGACATGAAAGAGGGAATATTGAGCAGACCCCAGCAAAGCTTACGAGGTGTCCCGGAGACGCGCGTTTCCTGCCACTTGGTCACAGGCTCTGCTGCAGTCTGGACAGACAACACAGCCAAGAGCATCTGGCTTCCACCTTAATCAACAAAAGGGTGCTGAATGTGAAGAAAACAACAAAAAAACCTAAGGATGAGACAAATAGCTCATCATAAGATAGTTGAAATAAACTTGGATGAAACACTAATCCCAAATACATACTGGCATGAAATTTCCAGTTAATTTACAAAGATTGTCAGACAATTAAATAAACAGTGTAAGGACTGGAAAATCAAAAAGCAAAGGGTTGAAAAACATTTGGCAGCTGTGTACTGGCCAACATAAGGTTGATGTGGCTGGGTCAGTATTTTATATGAAGAACGTACAGTTGATGAACTTGAAGGCAGGCGGCCAGGGCACTGTTAGAGGGTGCCATTACTTTTTTTTTTTTTTTTTTTTTTTTTATGGAACTGGGGGTTGAACTCGGTCCCTTGCACTTGCTAGACAAATACTTATTCTACTGGGCCATCTCCCCGGCCCCAAGAGTGCCATTACTTACTAAGAAACCTTTCCAACCTGAGGTACTGGTTCACTTCTTAATCCTAGCTACTTAGGAGGCTGAGGCAGGAGGATCTCAAGTCTGAGGCCAGCCCTGGCACCTTGGTGAGATGCTGTGTGTGGTCGAGTGCCCTGAGCTGATTCCTTCCGTCCCCAGCCAGAGGTGCACGCAGAGACAGGTGTGCGCTGGGCCTCTGGGGCGCACTCCTAGGACCCCAGCTGAATGGCCTCCCCAGCCCTGCAGAACCACCTTGCAGGGCTCACCTCCCACCCAACTGGACTCAAGTTTCAGCAGGTGTGTGAGGGCTAGCACTTGGCCCAGGCCTGATCCCAGACCATGCTGTCACTGTGCCAGGAGACCACACCTGGGCTATTGGGTACCCCACCATCTGGGGTTGGGGTAAGCTGGGGGCCTTGCTGGGAAGGAAGTCCTTCACCTAGCCAAGACGGAGCTGGAGCACTGGCTGGTAGGAGTGTGAGTGGCTCTAGGCCCTGCGTCCCAGGAAGAGGCTTGCAGTGAGCCAGACAGGAGTTTGCCCAGGCTGGGCTGCCATGTACCAGGAAGCTCATGAGGCAAGCAGATTCTGCTGGAAATGTGAGAGGTAAGAGGAGCTCCAAAGAAGCCAGTGCTGGAGATGCTGAGGGAGAGAAGAAACCCAGCCAGCAATGCCAGGGCATCGCCAGGCTAGAGGAGGTGAGGAGAGGCAGGGTACACAGTAGTGCTGGGGGCAGGTAGCCCAGCATGCACACTGAGGCCCTGGCCTGCCAGGTACATGGCCCAGCAGAGCAGTGACTGTTCTGTGAGCAGCAGACCAAGAGCGAGGAGAGAGGCTGGCGGACAGCAGTGCGTCTGGGGAACAGGCAGCCGTCCAGGGCAGGGCGGCAGGTCCAGTTGTCCTTGCTCCATGGGGTACGTGGACCCACAGCCAGCCCTCAGGCAGGTGCCGTGGTTGTGGAGTGAGATGAAGAGCGGGCCCTTTCTCAAGGACTTTTTATGTTGTGGGTACTTCCTCTGCCTCTTTTCTTTCATTGAAATAAGAGAAAAATTAAGAAATTTGGAAATTGGTGAAATTAACCTTTAGGATTGAAGGTGATCTTACCTGTGTACAAACCCTTGGAATCGTAGGTGACAGAAAAGTATGCATTTTAACAGATTTCCGTTTCCGTTCTGTGTGTAACTCATGCAGTTCTAGCTAAAAATGCCAGGGCAATTTTTAGTACACCACACATTTACTTTTTTTCTTAGAGCTGATAGGTTGAATGCTTTTACTTTCTCATAGTTTTGTTTTTTAACTTTATAAGATGGTCAGGAAACAGGGAAAGCCTTGGGCTTAAAGATAGTGTTTCTGGGGCCGCCTTCCTTGAAGCCCCTCTCCGGCCAGAACAGTAGCGATGCAATTTGAGGAGGCTGAGCTGAGGTCTGAGAGGGGCCCTGGCGTCAGTGTTGTTCTGGTCAGCGGGGCCTGGCATAGTTGCGAGGTGCGGGTTGAGAGCCAGGCTCCTGCACAGGGCCAGGAGACCTAGAGCTTTCCCATCCCGGGGCCCACCCCGAGCGCAGGAACTTGGGACTTGGAGGGCAGGCTTTGCTGGTGACGGTGGATGGACAGAACATTTGAAAACCACATTGAGCACCTCAACTCCCCCGCAGAACTAGAATTACACAGTGCAGGCTGCAGGAGGTTCCATTTGCTTTTGAGATGCACTCATCTGCCATCATGAGATGGTAGTCGCTATGTCCTTTGAGGTACTATTTTGATTTCTGTCAGAAATCTTGTCTTTTCCTCCTTCCGTGCACACACACAGGTTTTCCCTCCTGTTTCACAGTTATGTGTGTCTTCAGGTGACAGCAGATACTTGTTGGAGATATGTGGATATAAGTATAGGAGAAAGTTGCACGCCTTTGCTTCTGCACTCAGGGAACTTTTCTAGCCTCACCCCAAAGGTGTTCAGGCTGAGCAACCTTTTGTTGTGGGAACAGGGCTGGGAAAGGCAGGACACCTACCTGCTTCCCTGGTCGCCCACTAGATGGCAGTAGTGTGCCCTGGTAGTGACCAAGTGTCCTTGGGAGTGAAGGGAGGGGACTTGGGATGAAATCGGCCCAGTTTAAAGGCCACTGACTTAGAAGACGGCTCCTGTGTTGGTTAGGAAAACATAAGGGGCTGCAGATCCCGCAGTTCACACCATAGTTAGCAGTGTGAGTCTGTGTATTCTGCTTCTTAAAATTCACATTCCTTTTTTTTTTTTCCATAATTTTATTGAGAAACAAATAGCAATGAGACAGTTTCAAACCAAATTGGTAGGACAATTTCAATAATTCACACATTGCATACATTCTGCCTAGTGGTTAATTGCTGTACAAGATGCGGACTTGATATCCTATTTACAAACACCATTAGAACAATTCCCTCTATTCATTAAGCGAATGTAACTAACTATACATCTATCCTAACCACTTTGCATACACAGATACAAAACGGACATTCATCTGTATCCCCTTTTTTTGTTAAGTTCCATCATTTCAATATTATAGGTGTATAAACTCAGCAAAATATTCTAAAAGAGTCCAGTAGCCCATAATAGTATGGGGTCTTCTGCTTGACTGGCAGTGTCAGAAATTGTTGACCTGAGTCCCCTACAGCTCAACATAACAGCATGGCTTTACTTCTTCTACTTCATTTTTATACTTTTCTGCTGGATGGTTAAGACCAAGGTAAAGCAGGACCTGTGCAACAAGAGTTGTAGCTTTTGGGTCTGATAAAGTCAGTGAAATCCCCTCAGGATTTATCCTGAGATCCTGCACCTCAGATTGTCAGTGTCAGCCATGTGGATGAGTCACGGCCAATGCTTGGCCAATGTGCTCTCTGTGAAAGCCTGAGAGAATCACACTCCTCTTAGTGCCTATAAAACACTTGTTTCTCTTCCACGGAAGCTGCCCTCCGTTGAGCCGTCAGCAGTGTCAGCAGACGACTGGACAGTCATGCTGGTGCTGTGAGCAGCAGTGGCACCAGGGCAGGTATGCTGTGACACGAGCCCGAGGAAGAGCTTTCAGAGCAAGAGTTTGCCCAGTACTAAAAATAAGGCTGATTTCAGATAGGAAGCGGAGAAAGAAACCACCTGGCAGTACGCCAAGTGGAGCCTCTTCTTGGCGCTTTTGTTTTTCACAAGATGCCACCTCAACCCCAGAACAGGCAGGCCTGGCTCCATGGGTTATGGCTGGTGGCAGTCACAGAATAGGTAGCTGAAGTTCAGTGAAATGGACCATTTTCCTGAGGATGCTCTTTGACGGAGACTGCTGTCTCGCTGCTCCCAGGGCCTCCCTGTGGGCTGTGGCCAGGCTGGCCCTGCTCAGCATTGCGGTCTGGTGGCTGAGAGTCATTACCCAGACATGGGATGCAGAGGCAGTGTTCGCCCTGTAATGACCACAGCATTGTCTCGCCCCGTAATCTGTAACCAAAAGCCTCGTGAATGATCAGGTTGCACTTAGACCACACTAAAGAAAAACTTGGTGGGACCAAAATCACTACAGCCACTTGAGCAGGAATGATGGAGAATGATGGCATTTTCTCTCCTAGGGAGATGTGCGTGTGGAACGTCACCAGCGGACAGTGCGTGCAGCAGGCCACTCTTCCCTACGGGCACACTGCCATCTGTGTGAGTCCTGCCCCCTCCCCACCCCGTCCCGGGTGCTCCTTGGCCCTGCGCTGTCAGCGTAGGCCGCTCTCGTGCCGGGAGTCTTCACAGGATGTTCTTTCCTTGAAGTTTTGCTTGCTTTTGAGGTTAACAGAGCTTTTGTAAGGTCCTGATTCCTTATGATCAGTGTTCTCATTATGTATATCTAAAATGTGCTAATAAATTTTTTTAAATGCAAAAGAAACCTCACTGAAAAGCAAATCTTCACTCATCTGCTATTTTGATATTGTCTTTCTCAAGATACTGCTCAAGAAAACTTTACTCTTAATTCTTTCATTTCTGTATGTTATTTGACAAAGGTGATGTGTGTGTTTTTCCTCAGTGACATTCAGGAAGCACACTGCATGTACCAGGTCAGCTTCACGACGCGCTATTTTATAAAGCGTACACCCCCCCTTTATTTTTAACCTATGTATTTCATTCTTACTTTCTGAATTTGCTCACTTATGTAGAGAGCCAGGCTGTTGCCGTGACCTTCAGAGTCACTCTGTGACTTCGTAGGACAGACTTTTTATTGTGGTGGACGGGTAGCCATGCATGGGAGGCTGTGGTAGGCCCCATTGGCACTGGCGGCACCTTGTTATCTTGTGTGTTGCTTTTGGGTGGGTTTATTACAACACGCGCAAATGCTTTTGTGTTCATGCTGGGCCTCGGTCCTGCATGGTGAGGGGTTCCCAGAAAGTAGAGTGTGTCAGGTGACCTTTAATAGAAGTCATTTCCAAGGCTTGCTTGGAATAAGAAGTTCTCTCACTCTCTTCAGACACTTGTGCTGGCCTTACTAACATGTATCGCTATTGCTACAGGGAAGAACCTGGCTTTTGCTGTTGCTGTTCAGCTTTAATACCCTTGGAGCAACATACCTGTGAGCTTTCAGTGGTTTAGAGTATTTATGTTTTCCAAAAAATCCCTCTTTTTTCAGAGAAATGAAAGTACAAGTCTAACTGAAATGCAAAATCAACATAGAATATAATCTCAAATCTTAGCAGTTCTTGAGTGTAATGCCTTCACTGAGTAGATGCTGATGCTCAAATTGAGAGAAGACGTCTGCACAGCTAAAATGACGCTGAACCAGGGCGGTGACTCACCCCCGGGAGGCCGGGATGGAAGGATCACAGCTGCAGCACCTGCCTGGGCCAGAGTGCAGCTGTGGTGTAAAACAAGAATTAGCAAGGTCTAGGGATGTGGCTCCCCCGGGCTCTGGATTGGGTCTCCGCACAGTGACACTTCCATTGGGTACTGTTCCTTGCTTGTGACAGCTCCACTTGTGCTTTGCACCCCTCTGCGTAGTACTACCACTGCTCCTCCCGGATGACAGGCGATGGCTGGCTCCTGTGCTGTGGGGAGTACCAGGACGTGCTGGTCATCGACGCTGAGACCCTGGCTGTGGTGCACTCGTTCTCATCGTCTCAGTCTCCAGACTGGGTCACCTGCATGTGCATCATGCACTCTGTGCGGGTTCAAGGTAACGGGTGGCCCCGGTGCTGTGGGGTACGAGTGCTGGCCTGCTCCTCAGCTGCTGGCTGGGTTCCTTGCAGAGGACAACCTGTGAACAGGTTGAGGAGACACGGGTTGTGGCCTGGGCCCACCCGTGCGTCCCAGTTGTGGGGGCAGGCGCAGGCAGAGGGGCTGACTTGCTCAGTGTGGTGGGAAGGGAAAGGAGGTGGGGTGGGGAGGAGGGTCTGTCTCTGTGACGTGGCTCGAGGGTATGCACAGCTTGGCTCTCTGTGTGGTCTGGAGCAGGGTTTCGATGTCACCAAAGCACTGGCAGTGTGGGCCTTTCGCTCTCCACAGGGACACTTTACGCAGTCTGGAACTCAATGTGAAATGGTTATTTTTTATGTAGAATCATGGGCAAGTCCAGTGTTCTCCACCTCCATAGCCCTGCACAAGCCCTAAAGGATGTTGAGTTGTTCCTGAAGCCCGCTCTGAGCAGGCTGCTCATATGTGACCTCTGTTCCTCTTCCAGAAGATTCTCTGCTGGCAGTGACGGTGACCGGGGACCTCAAGGTGTGGGACCTGTCCTCATCCATCAACAGCATCCAGGTGGGTCGGAAGCCACCCTTCCCCGGGCTTGAACATATTACTGCACACTGTCAAATCCTGGAGGCAATACGTGCTCACAGTTAAGAATGGAAATGAGGAATCTTGCTCTTACCTACGTACCCGTCTGTCTTTCAGGGGTGGGCTGTGGTATTGGTGGGTCGCATCTTTGCAGGCTTGACTGTGACTATGTAAATGTGGGATAGAGGCACAGATCCACAGAGACAGACAGACACAGATCCACAGAGACGGATGTGTAGCTACCCAAGGACACACCCAGGCACACCCAGGGGCACACTGGCACATGGACATGTAGACACTGATACACACAAACACACGTGGACACAGAGATGCACAGGCCTGTGCACATAGGCACGCAGACACAGAAACATGTAGTGGATGGACGTACTGTATAGACACAGAGGCACACAGAGAACAGACAGAGACACACGAATCCATACACAGACATGAGGACATACACTCAGACACACATGACACACGTAGACACAGAAAGATAGACATACACAGACTAACACACACGCAGATATGCAGGTGTATACACAGACACAAGGAGGTTTTTGATTTAAAAGGCCCTGAGAGGACACAGCACTGCCTGTCCCTTACCCGGAAGCACCCCTCTGGCTGGGTGTGAGGCCGCAGGGTCTGGCACGTTCACCTGCTACTTGTGCTGGTGATGGTTGCTGGTGGCGCCGTGGCTCTGCGCTCCTCTGCTGTGCCCCGGGAGGAGGCTGAGGAGCTGTCACCCTGCTGGTCCTGGAAGGCAGGTCCCACCTGGTTGCCTGACACTCACCACATCAGTCCACACCTGCTGTGTCATCTGCTCTACCTCTTTCCAAAGCACTTGCTCATTTTTAAAATTCTAGCAGTGAATACTGGAGGCTTTAGGACATCATCATGTTTCTTTCTACTCTTTCCGCGGTGTTTGGAAGTCAGTACCTGCGCTGTCTGCTCTCAGTGCCCAACACGCTCTGTCGCCGAGTGTTTGTTCAGTAACCACGTAAAAAACATTTTGGGGGCTGAGTGCATTTCCTGTTCACAGTTAGTCTTGCAAAGGAACTTTGTAGTTCAGGAAGCCCGAAAAAACACTGCAGAACTTTTTCTTCTGTAGTGGAGTGATCTGCTCCTATGCATGTGTGAACAGGTGTTCGTATGTCTTAGAGAAATGGCCGGGAATTAGCGCTCACGTGTTCTCTTGTCGTTTGAAGGAAAAGCGAGATGTCTATGAGAAAGAATCGAAATCTCTTGACTCCACGAACTGCCAGACGATCCGATTTTGCACATACACAGAGCGACTTCTGCTGGTGGTGTTTTCTAGGTGCTGGAAGGTATTATAAAACAGATCATGAGTACCACCGAGGCACACATGTCGTTTTATTCTTGTTGAGTGCACCAGTGATAACATGATTAGGTAGGACAGAGCTCTCACGGCACGCCAACAGCGCGGCAGATGACTGCTCCGCAGTGGCCCCTGTCCATTGCCGGGTTCCCAGATTCTGTGCTTCCCGAGACACGGGGTGTGGGGGTGTGTCTTCATGGTGTTACTGACAAGCCCCAGTGCTGAACAGCTGTCTTCCCACTGTTGTCAGAATCAGTGCTCATACTCCACGTTTAGAAAACTAGCACTTTTTACTTATGGAGATCAAATGTTTAGATTTTTTCTTTTTTCTTTCCTCTGTTACTACATTTGCCTCTGGGGACGCACATTCTTTTCTTGTGACTACATCCTCAAATGCATCTAAGAAAGGGAAGCTAGGTTACCATCACTTGATACTATCCTTCTTAATTTTTGTATCACTGACTTACTTAGAAAACTTACATAATCTTACCTGTGGGGTGATAATATGTTTTGGAGCAAATATTGAAAGTACATGGTCTGCCAAGAGGTGTCTACTATGTATACTTTTTCTTCTGCATGATTTTAAAATGTCAAACCTTGACTCTTCATGCATAAATAAACTATTTAGAAAGTTGAGATCTGGAGCTTCTATTCCAGAATGGGCCAGTGAGATGAACTATTGCATGAAACCTCCTTGAGATTCAGTTTGAAATCACAAGTCCTTATGACATGCCCCTTGCTCAGCAGGAAGAGTGCGGTTGGTGGCGGCTCGGCAGTGCGGGGTGGCGCAGCCGCTGGCTGAGAGTCGGGTGGGCAGCGTCCGCCTCCCCCGCTGGGTGCCTGGCCCGGAGCGTTGGTGAGCGCCTGGCTCTGTGCTGCAGGTGTACGATTACTGCGACTTGTCCCTGCTGTGGACGGAGGCCAGCAACGGTGGGCGGCTCTTTGCAGGCGGAGAGGTGCTGGCGGCGCACAGGGTCCTCGTCTGGACTGAGGACGGCCACAGCTACATCTATCAGCTGCTGAACAGGTGGGCGCAGAGGAGGCAGACCCAGGCATGGTCAGGTAGAAAACGGTTCATTGTGGAACCCCTGCATGCTGCCCGTGATCAAAAACCAGAACAAAACGGCTGTGGCACCAAGAGATTTACCGTGGGCTTGGCGGCCCCTGGCTTTGTGCAGAACAGCGGGGGACGGGAGAATGAGATTAACCATGTATAACTCGTACAGCTGGTGTGCGGCGTCCAGAAAGTCACTTGTAATTAATTATTAACCCGACAATCTCCAGCCAGGGTTTAGAAACTTGAATGGTACCATCCGGCCTGTGAAAGTGGGAGGAGGAAGGAAATAACCACACAGTCTTCAACTCTGCTTTGTATTTTTGCCATGCAGTGGGCTTGCCAAAAGCAGCAGCCCGGCCGACGGGAGGCTGCTGAGAGAGACCGTTTCTCCACATTTACTGTGCTCTGCCTCCGTGGAGGAAAACCAGGTAATGCAGGGAACGGGCCTGCTCCCCCAAGCAGCTGAGCCTCCAGGCCGGGCTGGCTCTGTTGGGACAGAGGCCAGTGGATTGTGCTGCAGCATCCTGGTCCTTGGTACGAGGGCCGCAGGCTGAGCTGTGCTCGGTGCAGGGGGGCACCGTCCTTGAGTGGCTGCTGTTTCTAGGCTTGACTAACTGAGTGGTGTCTATTTACGACGGGAAGGAGTACAAATTTTGAAGAAAATAAGGAGAAATTGAAGTCCTGATATCACCACCATCATTATTTACTGTGAATTTTTTTTTTTTTTTTTTTTTTTTTGCGGAACTGGAGATTGAACTCAGGCCCTTGCGCTTGCCAGGGAAGCGCTTATTCTGCTGAGCCATCTCCCCAGCCCTTTACTGTGAATTTTAAAGCTCTGTTTATGCCTACTCACTGAGTTTCTGGAGAAATACCACAGTGATGCAGTAGTGTGATGATCATTATATACCCTTTTTGTAGACCCACCAGTTAGTAACATTTTTGTCACGTTGGATGTTTGAAAAGTCTTACAACAGTGCAGTGATCATTATAAAGCCTTTATGTAGATTCACTAGTTAACATTTCTGTAAAAAACCACAGATATGCACAAACACTGCTAATATTAGGATGTATTCACTCCAGTTTTGGAACTTTATAAATTGTTTTTGTTGTAGTCAGGATTTTCAGGGGAGACACTTTGATACAAGACACATAACTTATAGGATTATTTTATAATATTCACCCAAAGAGTCAAGTCCAGAAGAGTGTAGGAAATCTGTCCACACCAGAGACCGAAAGAATCCAGATAGGGCCCTGGATCCCACAGCAGTGGCCTGCATGAGTCTAGATGAACACCTAAAGCCCATGGCAGTGCCACATGCAGGCCTGTTTCACAGATCTGCTCTGGGAAGGCCCAAAGATCAGCAGCGAAAGCTAGGAAGTTTGTGCCGCAGGAGGAAGGCTCTGTGCCAGCAGGCTGAGGGGTGTGCACTGGAGCCAGGAAGCAGTAAAAAGTAAGGACCAGAACTTCCGCAAAAGGTGCCACAGCTGTCCTCAGTGACAGCGAGGCCCAGGGCTCCTCTGAAGATGAGGACAGCTGAGTTCCCATCAGGAAAGCTAACATGATGAGCTTCTCCAGGAAACTGAGCTGTGCACCATCTTTCCCCCTGGAGCCGGGAAGTGGCGCTCGTGAGGACCAGCGCTCCCCCAAAGTGTACCGCAGCCATTCTTGGTGACAGCGTGAGCTGCTTCCACGATGAGAATAGCTGAGTTCATCAGGAAAGCCAGCAACCCCGCATCCTCCAAGAGAACTAACAGCTCCCGAAGTCTCCCGACAGCCTCCAGCTCCTTCCGAGCAGCTCTCCCCTTCTCCAGTTCTGCCTTTTGCACTGCCAGCAGCAGTCCTCAGCTGGTTCAGCTCATCTGGGTTGCACACTGACCACCAGGTGACAACCAAGCACAATTCTTACCCTGAGGGTTTTTTTTTGTTGTTGTTGTTGGGTTTTTTTGGTCATATATTAAGATCACTTTCATGTGTACTTAGCTTTTCTCATGAGTAACTTTTCTCGTTAGAAAAGATACAAGTATGATTTCTGACTGAGAGTTGGGATTTATTGCCTCATCGAATTATACATTTGGCACTCTAGGAAGCTGGAAAATCTATGTAGGTATTTTACTACAGTGGTGGGACTCAGTGATTTTTTTTTAAGCCTCCCAAATCAGTAATCAATTAATTATCCAAAAAGGTATTTCATGGAGATAGGATGAGTTCTTGAATTATTTTAAATTCTTAATAATTACAGAATGATTGTTTGCCTCATTAAGCAGAGTAGCTGTTGCAAGTCCTCCAGTTCAGCAATTGCCCTTTCAGTGTATCAGTGAATAGGTCTACTACAAAAGCTCGACCAGGAAGCTAGGAGCCATCGTCATGTACCAGGGCAGCACTGGACAGCAGTGAATAGCGTGGTGGCATGCCGTGGCTGTTCCTGAAACTGTTGCTCAGCCACACTTGTGCCCAGCTTTGCTGTGGACCACAGAGCAGTGCCCCGAGCTCCTGGGAGAGCATTTTTACTTTCAGGACTTCCTCTTTCCTTCTTATAGCTTGGGGAATTTTTACGACACAGTTTGCCTTAGAAGCCCAGTGTAAGTCATACCCTTTAGGGCCTCCTGGCCTACTGAACATATCAATATTATATGCACACCGTAAAAATAATTTCTTTCTCAGTGAGTTCATTATTGATGTACAAGAATGCTATTGATTCTTGTGTGTTGGTTTTGTATCCTACTACAGTGATGAATTTGGTTATTCTTGGAATGTTTAGATTTTGGAGGGGTCTTCTACATACAGGATTATGGCATCTGCAGATAACAATGTTGCTTCTTCATTTCCTGTACATATCTCTTTTACTTCTTCTTGCCTGATTACTATATTGAACAGGAGTGGTGATAGCAGACTTCCTTGTCTTGGTCCTGATTTTAGAGGGAAAGTTTTCAGTTTTCCTCCATTTACTATGATGTTGGCAGTAGGTTTGCCATAAATGAATGGCTTTTATCAGTTTGAGATAAGGTCCTTCTGAACCACTTTTCTTAAAGATTTTTATCTTGGATGAATGTTGGATTTGTCAAAGGCTTTTTCTGTATCTGTTGAGATGGTCATGTGATTTTTGTTCTTGCTTCTGTTAATGTGATGTGTGTATCTATTGATTCATGTGTGTTGAGCCATGCCTGCATCCCTGGCACGAGTCCTTGTCCTGATGTATGTGTGATCTGCTTGATGATTTGTTGCGTTCTGTTTGACAGTATCCTGTTGAAGGTTTTGCATCTGTATTCATTGGAGAGATTAGCTTTTAGTTCCCTTTTTAGTTTTAGGCTTTATCTAGTTTTAGAGTGAGGGAAATTAGATTCCAAGAATGACTTCAAGAGTAATCCTTCTCTTTGAATTTTATTGTGGAACTCAAGGAGTATTAGTGTTAGATCTTCCCTGAAGTTTTGAAGAATTGAGCTTTGAATCCATCTGGGCTTGGGGTCTTCTTAGTTAATAAGTTTCTGTATTTATTTATTTTGTATTTTTCGGGAAAGGTCTACAGGGTGTTCAGGGTCTCACTACTAGATTGGATTCGTAGTGATGTGCCTGTTTACAACTTTCCAAGAGCTGGGATTACAGGTATGTGCCACCATGCCCAGTCTCAATTGCCATCTAAAGTGCTTTGATCCACTGAGCTATTTGGCCAACCCTAAGTTTCTGTTTTTTATTTTATTGCCTATCACTGGATTATTCAGGATTCAGTTTTGGTAATTCATGTGTATTGAGGAATCTACCCATTTCATGTGATTCCTCCAATTTAATTGGCATACAGGTTTACAAAGTAGTTAGTTGCTAATAATCTGAGTTTTGGCGGTGTCTATTGTGATTCTGCCTTTTTTAAATTTTTAACTGCAGTGATTTGGGTCTTTCTTTTGTTTGGTAAGTTTGGCTAAGGCTTTGTCCATTTTGTTTGTTCTTTTGAAAAACCAAATTTTTAATTCATTGATCTTTGTATTGTTTTTTAGTCTCAATTTCATTGATTTTTGCTCTGCTCTTTATAATTTCCTTCCCTTGTACTAGCTTTGGGTTTGGATTGTTTTCATTTTTTTGTAGACCTTGAGTTGTATCCCTAGGTAATTTGTTTGGATTCACTGTGAACTGACTGAGAAAGAAAGTATGCAAAGAATACCATTCACAGTATCAGGAAGAAAAACTAAATACTGAGGAATTAACCTAACAAAGGAGGTGAAAAACCTCTACAGTGAAAACAGTAGTCTGATGTAGGAGATTAAAGAGGATAGATACCTAACCCAAGCACATTCAGAGGGACCAAAACACTGGAGAAAGATGGAATGGTGCTGGGAAAGCTAAGTCCATGTGCAGTGAATTCTAGACCTATGTCTTTTACTATGTGTTACACTAAAATCAAAGTAGGTTAAAGATCTAAATGCTAAAACAAATATTTAATCTGCTAGAACATAAAATGGGTAGGTAAAACTCTTGAAGTCAGAAGTGTAGGCAAGGTCTTGCTGAAAGAATCCTAGTTGCACAGGAAATAGTACCAAAAATCAAAAGATGGAATCATACCTCTGCATGACAGAAACAGCCAATAGAGTGAAGGGGCAACCTAAAGAATGGTGCAAACTCTGCCAGCCATTCCTCTGACAGAGGACTAATATCTAAAACATGTAAAGAACTAGAAAGCATTAAATGTCCAAAATAAGAGGCCCCGTCCAAGACTGGGCAAGTGAGATGAGGAGACACTTCTCAGAGGATGAAGCCCATGGGAACATGAAGAAACACTTAGCATCGCTGGCCATCAAAGAAGTGAAAATGGCAACAACCCTGAGACTCCAGGAAGAATGGCCATCAGCAAGTCAGATGACAGCAGATGCAGTGCAGGGTGTGAGCCCAGGAGCCCTCTGCACTGTGGGTGGGAATATGATCTAGTGCAGCCTCTACGGAAGCCAGGAAGGAGATTCCTCAGAAAAGTGAAACCAAAAATTTCATTTGATTCAGCTGCTAGTCCTTTTCTAATTACCTTCCCACATGCGGCAAAAGCATTATGTTCTAGTGATCCATGTGTACCCGAGTTTATAGTGGCGCATTTATAATAGCTAGGTCTTGGAAGCAGCCTATGTGTCCATCAGCAGATGAACTGGTAGAGAAAACATGATGTTTACACACCATGGAGCAAATAAAGAAGGACAAATATAGTCCCATTTAGGACCATGGGTGTGCCTGGAGACCATAATGTCAGGCGGGATGTATCAGACACGTACACTTAGATGAGAAACTCGAAGTCCCGAATAGATAAAGAGCAAAGTAGTAGACAATAGGAAGTGGGAAGTAGATTATCGCGAGGTGGGTAGAGGATCTACAGGTGGCGGGAGTAAGGAGGCAGGTACAGAAGGAGTGGAGAACTGCGATGCGTTCCAGACAGCATCACTTCCTTGAGGACGAGTGCCTGTGCAGCAAACGTGGGCTGAGGCCAGACTCAGGAATGGAAGAAGCGAGAAGGAATGTCAAGGGTGGCGGGATGTTTCTTTGACTCTGGCCAGTGAAGCTGCACATTGAGGGGCCTTCTGTCAGTGATTCTCCTTCCAGCAAGCGCATTAAGTGCCCAGAAGCAGTGGGTAGGAGCCGAGTGCCATGAGCTGGAAGGAAGCCTGTGGCCTCTCAGCTCCTGCCTACCTGCCGGGGTGCCAGCGCATTGGGCCTCGGTCTGCTCGGCTCCACCGCGCACCTGCGCAGTAGCAGCTAGAAATCCATCCTGGAGATCGGCAGGACCTAAAGGACATTGGGTGGAACAGTATGGGGCTTGGGCCTGAGCTGTGCCTTGTGCTCATCCTGAAGACGCCATGAGGCCTGTCAGCAGGTGACCTGGGCTTGTTTCTTTTTTCCCTGCCTAGCTCCCTCGCAGTCCTAAGGCCGGTGCTTACTTCCTAGCACTCCTGTGCAGATTACATGCTCCCACTGCTCCATATCCTCTGTAAATACAGTGTAGGGCTTTCCACTCCGACACTTCAGTCCAGACCAAAAAGTGAGTATTTTTGTCTCGGAGCTGCCACTTTCTTAGGCTTCTTTAGTTCTGGCACCAGCAGTTGGCATTCTTCACAGGAAGCCTTTTATTTGCACATCAAAAAAGGACTTGGTTTTGTTTTTCTAGTCACTTAATCATTCTGAGACCCATGTGTTCATGTATAAGCTCCCTCTCCCTGGGAACCTGCCCAGGAGCAGCTGCCTTTCCTGCTGCGAGTTCACCAGCAGGCCAACTGGCCGTATCTGCACAGACGCTTCAAAGTTACAAGTGCAGTTTACATTCGCCATGCACAGCGCTGTGCATAGCACAGGTCAGGTAGTGTTGCATGGAATGCGTCACACATGTCTTGAGTTCTGCTCGCTGTGTCCCTGCGAGGAAATCAGCCCTTCTCTGGGCTCCTCGTCTGTGTAAGACAGTGCCGGTGCCAGTGCGTTGGACCGTCCTCAGGATCGTGTACCTTCATATCTGTGAAGTTCCCGTGGGTGACGTGTACACAGAACTGTGCAAAGTAACTTGTAGACCGTAGCCAGTAAGCAGGAGATGTGGTTGTCCACTCCGCAGTTTAGCTAATAGCTTTGCTTTTGGTTTTGTGAAGTCATTTTGTTCAGTCACTGGTCTTTTCCTTTAGTTCACTGAAACTTCTGAAACAATGGGAAATAAAGGGAAAAGATGTGGTTCAGCTCTAAAGGTCTAGTTCCTCTGTTTAAAGTCAGCAGCCTCTAAGTTACAGTGCTCTCTTCCTCAAAGCTTGCCTTTGCTTTGCAGAGCCTTCCCTTTGTCATGGGCTACATGAATGAAAGGAAGGAACCTTTCTACAAGGTGCTGTTTTCTGGAGACGTGTCGGGGAGGATTACTTTGTGGCACATCCCTGATGTCCCTGTAACCAAGTTCGATGGTTCTCCTAGAGGTAGGACACTTCCATTTCCAGACACACTTCTCCTGAGAACTGGTTTATAATTCAGCGCCATGCCAGGTTCTTGACGTGGGCCTTCAGACAGGAAAGTTTTTCTCACATGTGATACTGTGTGTTAGATGCCAACTTACAGGGCATGATCAAAAGATCCTGTGAATGTTTGAACTAAAAATGCATTTTACTGTAAAAGACACATTGCCATGAATCCCCTTCAGAATCCTGCTTGCTTATCCCGTCATCCTTGTCACTTGCTGAAGCAGTTGTGAGAGTCCTTTTTCCTGAGTGTCTATAGGGCATGATAAAAATGCAGTGGACACTGCTGCTCTGTGCTATGCAGCAGACAGTCCGGCTAATGAGACGCGGGCAATGTGTTAGGTGCGTGCACCAGCTCCCCGCGGTGGATGCGCTAGTTGTACACTGTGAGGCAATACTCGTCCGACTTTGAAAGTCAATTTAAAGAACGCAGTGTGTCATCATCCACCCCATCCGCCTTAGGAGGTCTAGCGCCCGCCATACTACTGATGGTCTTCCCAAAGTCAGTCGCAGTGACCAGGAAAGGGAAACGCCCTGAAGGGACTCAAGCTGGCAGGGCAGCCAGGACCTGACAACTCACGGCCTTCAGGAGTGGGTTAAAGAGGGGTGACCCAGGACCTCCAAGTGATCCAGGTGACGTACAGGAAGTGCTCTGACCCCAGCATGGCAGCTGGCTGGGTGTCAGATGCACGCATGAAGCTTTTGTTCTCTAAAATTGAGAATGAATTCTAGAAACAATGGAGGTAAAGAGTAGGAAGTATGCATTGAGAGAAAGGAAGCTTCGAAGAGAGACAGAAGGGGGCCCAAGTGGGGAGCCTGGAGAACTCTCTTCTCAAGTGGGTTTCATAGAGTAAAACCAGAGGTGAGAGGTATAACAAAACTAGTCAGCTAATCAGATTAAAGCTTTAGTTGCTTAAGTCATGTTGAGCCGACGGGCAATCACAAAGTGGGTATGAGGTGCAACCAAACTGGTAAGCCAGCGTGATTACGATTATGGCTAGTGTAATCACCCAGGTAGCTCCTGTGAAGTGGGGTCAGACGGGGCGGCAAGTCACATGGCCTGCGGGCAGGAACCAGGACCGTCCTGGGAAGGAATGGGTAGGGAGGTTGGGGCCGCCCCGGCAGTGACGCCTGCTAGTGTCCCCAGGGGAAGGAGTCGTTTCTTTGTCTGAAGCTTGATCTTTAAACAGTGCTCCTCCCACCCCAGCTGTCTGTTGCCCTGACCTCTCAAGGATCCAACCCTATCTGACTGCTTATAGTATTTTTAGATGTCTTAGCTATCCATACTATTTTATTGTAATAATTTAAAAAAATTAAGCATTCTCTGTATGTTTCGATCACACCTCTTAAAAGCAGGCATAAATGTGAAACTCATAGGCCTGTTCCAAGGGTGCCAGCTTTGTGTGTCTGGAATTGGTTCTCACACCATCTTTGTAGTTTTCAAGATGACGTCTGATTCCATTTTCTTTATTCTGAATTGATAACCCCAAACCCCAGCTCTCTCATGTTTTCCTTTTAGAGATACCAATCACTACCACCTGGACCCTTCAAGATAATTTTGACAGGCATCAGATGGTGTCACAGAGCATCCTTGACCATTTCTCTGGGTTTGGGGACGAAGGGGCAGCTGAGGCCGTGACGGCCTCGGAGTATGTCCCCCGCCTGGACAAGCTCATCTGTGGCTGCGCGGACGGGACCATCTTCATCACACAGGCTCTGAACGCTGCCCAGGCAGGCCTGCTGGACCTCGGCTCTGTCCCAAGAGGTGGTGTATCCTGTTGGGTCCCGTTTACTTAGCTTATCCAGGTTTTGTGCTCTGGCTGCAGCAAAAAACATTCAGAGCCTCAGGGACTGTGACAGATTTGCACGCATTTCAGTATTAAAGCAAAGCTTACGCAGAGCACTGGGCAGAAAGTAACACAGTGAGAAATAGGTCGCTTGCCCTGAGCCTCCACTTGCTTTTATCAGAGGCGGTTGTAAACGACAGTTTCTGTGTACCTTGCTTGAAGTTTTTTATGTACACACAAGTACAAACAAGTATAGTTGTGTACATGGTTGCAATTGTAACACATCCACATAAGCTTACCCTGTACACGTTGCAAAGCTGTCCTTAAATTTTTGTTTAAAGATCTCCTTGGTGTTTATCTTTCGTAGTCTTTAACTGCATTAGGCAGTACAGGATTGTATATCCTTATACAGATATGTAGGTATATCTGTAGTACTCGTCCCCATTTAATTTTAGTTTTAGTTTGGGGCTCTGCAAAGCTGGGCATGGTGGCACACCGGTAATCTCTGCACTCAGAAGCAGAGGCAGGAGGATTCCTGAGAGTTCAAGGCCAGCCTGAACTGCAGAATGAGACCCTGTCTCAAAAAGATAAAAGGCTCTGTGAAATACTTGCATGCACAGACATGCGTGCCTGGTAGTAGCTGATACAGATGCCTTTGCCCTCACACTGTGTATGCTGTTTAGCTTTAAGATCCTTGCCAATTGAGAATAATGTCTTGTTTAAATTTTTATTTGTTAATGAAATCTATATATCTGTGTATGTATTCTTTGTGCCCAGTTAAAACAAACATTTAAATACTGTTACGCAACAAGTTGTCTGTATAAATGGAGGAAAACAGAGGGATTGAGATTTTAAATTGAGTAGGAAAAAAACTATATGGTCGTTAAAATCATGTAATTCCTGTTAAGATGTGAGACCCTAAGAGGAGAGCAGATCTCTTTGGGGCGGGCTGGGGCGCTGCTGCGCTGGGATGGCTTGGACAAGTCCTGGATGTTCCTTACTTGAGACACAGAGATGGCTGGGGACAGAGGGCTGTGAGCAGGTCTTAGGTGATGGCCACAGCCGAAGGCTGCTGTGGGAACGGGGTGGACATCTAAGACCTGGGCATTTCATCCAGGCCGATGTAGCGTAATACGTGGGGGAAGAAAGCAGAAGCTTAGGTTTGACCTGCAGCCGCTGAGTTCCTATTCTTCATGATTTGCTTGGGGATAACAGGCAGGATGATGTGCCTTATGCGTTGGAGTAGCTAAAGTGCAAGGTGGCTTTGGGGTCTGCTCACTTTCAGTGAAGGGAAGCTGCAGCACATGATCCTTGTGAGCTTGGAGGCGTTCAGGTCACAGTGAGAAGGGGAGGGAGGAGTAGTAGAAAGAGGAAAAAAGCGCCCAGCACAGGGGCTCTGAAATACCCTTGGAGCAGCTGTGTGCCAAGCCCAGTGCGGGGAAGCTATGGCTTCACCCCACTCATTCTACCCAACCGTCCTCTGGAAGGGGCCTCTCCCTTGGCCTTTCACAGGCACGCCAGTGAGCGAACAGGGCAGGTGCACTTCCTGGTCCCTAGTCCAGCGCACCTCCAGGCGGTGATGAGCCTGAGGAAAAGGCAGGTCCGCTCAGCAGCAAGCCTGTGCTCTTGGAGCCTTTGCTTGATTTCTGACCCTTAGAATGAACTCCTGTAGCCTGTCTGAGCCTCATGTACTTCATCTATGCAACAAAGAAGTAGAACTCGGTAATCTCCAAGGTGCTTTGAAGTGAAGTATTCTTCGGCTGGGCTTGGCCTGATCATACTAATGTAAAGAGCAGAAGTAAGAATCCAGCTCCCTTTGCGGGGTGGAGAGGTTCTTGTTCATTCCTTCAGGACAGTGTTCTTCCTGGGATGAGAGCTTGTAGCTGGCTCCAGTGGTGAAGGATTTTAGGCATGAGCAACAACTTTAGTGCTTTAACCAAGCCTGCATTTGGCTTTTCATGAGGAACTTGCTCTCTAAGACAGTGTGAAGGTTGTTTTAGCCAAGGACATGCTTCCGCTGAAAATAGAGAACACATTTCAGAGCTACTTCCTGAACAAAGTAACTGTTGCACTATATGAGGGTGGGTTGTTTTCCAGATTCTTCCCCTCACAAAGTCCTCAAAGGCCACCAACAAAGTGTGACTTCCTTACTGTACCCTCACGGTCTCTCTTCAAAATCGGACCAGAGTTGGCTTGTGTCAGGGGACCGGAGCTCCTGCGTCATTCTGTGGGACATCTTTACTGAAGAAGCCCTGCATAAGTTCTTTTTGGAAGCTGGACCAGTAATGACTCTTTTGATGTCACCAGAGAACTTCAGAGTAAGTT